AATTACCATATTTTAAATTTCAGTAATTAAATTTTTTTTAATTCTAAAATTTCCTTAATTTTTCATAGAATCAAATTCTCTGGTGAAATTCATTTGTCTTTATTTTCTTGAACATAGTAATCAGTTATTTTAGTCTGTGCCTGATAGCTCTGGATCACATTTAGGTCTGTTTCTGTTCACTGGTTTTTCTCTTCTGGCTCTTGATATGCCTGGTAATTCTAAACTGAATGCCAGATATTATGTTAATAAGTGTTAGAGACCATGAATCAAGTCATGTCTCTTCAGAGAGGGTTTTGTTTAGCATCTGGATAAAAAATTAGAGTTGATTTGAAGTTATGTTTTAGTGCTTGTAAGATCTAGTCCTTTTCTGCTTTATTCTAACTATCATGTATAATCCTGTAGAGATTATGCACCTATGTGGGCCCTGAACTCCTGATTATATGCCCCCAGTGTGATGTAAAGTCAATAGGTCTGCTGAACTTCTTAGTTTTTTAGAAGCCAATTTCTTCTCTGTTTCTCCATACCTGGTCTATTTTTCATACACAGTAATAGATGGATGGAAGGGGTATAGAAGCCAAAATTATCTCAGTGATTTTTTCATATCAGAAGCATCATGGCCCTTCAAGTTCTATCTGCCTTGCTAACTCCTCAGTGCCTTCAAATATCTCTGATGCTTTAAAACAGAAATTTCTATTTTGTGTTTTATTTTGGCATTTTATCTAATTTTTCTAGTTGTTCTTATAGCAGCATTAGTCTGACAAAAGTTGGTGCATTACAGCCAGAACTGGAGGATTTAGGAGGCCAGATCTAAAAATACTGTGTATCACATTCTTCCAAGACATAAAATACAGTCACCTTATGTGTCCAGAGGAAAATAAAACATTTTCATGAAAATACAGCATTTTATTTTCCTGTTACAGGCAATCAATTGTGGGTTTACTATATACTTTGTAGGTTTCAATTGACTCTTTATGTATTTTTGCATATTTAGACAAATTTTAAGCTAACACAAAATATTAAAAGGCTTATAAAACAAACTTTGTATATGTATTTAAAATCTTAATATTTATTATTTTTGTTTGTTCTGGGTACTATGCTAGGCACATTTACACCTGTTGTATTCTTAATCCTCATGTAAATCCTACAACCTCTGAGACTGAAGCTGTTGTTTAATTTTAGCTTTTGGATGCAAACTAAAAGCTGATTAATTTATTCTGTAACTTTTTAATTATTATATGTTGTCATAACATATAGATGCAAGAGGATATAGTAATTGAAAGCAAGAACTAGGCTGCTCGGTTTTAATTCGATCTTCACCACTTCCTGACTGTTCAGCCCACAGCAATTTACTTCCTTTCTCTGCACCTCAGTTTCCTCTTCTGTAAAATAGATATAATAATATATTGTTGTACCAAATGCATTAATCTTTGAAGAGAACCTAGAAAAGTGTCTAGTACATAATAATCAATAATTATTAACTATTAACATTATGTGGAAGAAGAAAGTCCAGAGATATTCTGTAGCGGATTTACATAACGTTTTATAGTTTTATAACAGCTGCACTAGAATGTAAGTTCCATGAGTATGGGGAGTTAATCCCTCAGTACAAAGCATGATACTTGGTACCAATTAAAAGTATAAGATATTAAATTTTAAATTATGAAAGAAAAAGACATTTTTCCCCCTTCTCACCTATCTTTGTCAGTTATGTCTAATAAAGTCTGTCATATGTTTTCCCCTCTTTTGTTTGCCCACACTTTTTTTGCAAAGAAAGTCTTTTCTCAAGATAAAAGTTCTGAATTTTTCTGAATATATGAGTTACCATCTTATCTTTCTTGAAATTGAGATCACTGTAGAATATGTTTAAAATGTTGGGAGGACTATATATAACTTGGATGAATAAGTAGTCAATATTTTTTTCTGACTTGATAAAAAAATTATGCATTTACTGTCACAAACAACTTGTGCTATGCCTTGTGTTTCACAATTTATGTACTTGATATCAGGTACCTTTGATGATCCTTTCCTGTTTCTGACAGATTTTCTACTCTTTTAGGAGGGAAGAAAGGGATACATTTCTGGACTTGTATTCATTTTGTTTTTCTTGTGGTAGTATCTTACTTTTTATTCCAAAAAAAAAAAAAAAACAGTTATCTGTCAATCAATGTTTACTAAGCATTTATTGCATCTCTATATGCACTTTCTTACATTAAGAGCTTTCTAACAATTGGAGAAAGGCTGTGTAAGGAAAAAGAAAATCTTAAATTGTTAGAATGTGACATATTCAAAAGCACTTTGAAAATAATTGAGGTATTATTTTCTTGTTCTTATCTGTGGTATTAATTTCCTAGGACTGCTATAACAAGTTCCCACAAATAGGGTGGTTTCAAATAACAGAAATTTATTCTCTCTCAGTTTTGGAGGCCAGAAGTCCAAAACCAAGGTGTCAGTGAGGTTGGTTCCTTTTGGAGGTTCTAAGGGAGAATCCATTCCATGCCTCTCTCCTAGCTCCTGGGGGCTGCCAACAACCATTGTTGTGGCTTGGCTCATGGATGTATCACCCTAGTCTCTGCCTCCGAATTCACATCACCTTCTCCTGTGTTTCTCCTTTACTATTTGTATCCTCTTTTATGAGGACATCTGTCATTGAATGTAGAGTTCACTCAGGTAAGCCAGGATGAACTCATCTCAAGATCCTTAATCACATCTGCAAAGACCCTTCTGCCAAATAAGCTCATATTCACAGATTTCAGCAGGACATAGGTTTCTGGGGTGACCACTATTCAACCCACCACATCTGATGCCTACTTTGTTATTTTTCCTTGAATATTATCCTTTTTCAGATTCACAGAATTTCCCCCTTATATCTCTTGTTCTTCCAAAAGCCTAGTTGAGTGCTCTATCCAGTAATGCCATTTTAATAATGATGCATTAAATAAATGGATGGCAAAAATGAAAATACAGAGTATTGAAATGAGTTCATTACATGTAATAACATGGTTTGAGTCTAGTGATAAGACAGACAAAAAATCACAGCATGGCGTGAGAGTGGTAAGTACTATGATGTGGCTAAGTGCATATAAACGTTCACTCTATAAAGGCTTTCTGCAGAGGGGGATGTAGGAAACAAACATTGAAGGTTTGAGAAGAAAGTTCCTTGGTGAGGTCAATGAAGAAGAGCAGCCTAAGCACAGAATAACACAGGCAGAGACTTCCAGTGTGCAGTCTCCTGGGACCAGTAGGAAGTATTTGGTGTGGCTGGAAGATATAGTGGATGGGATGGAGGTATGACTGGGAGTTGTTGTATGCAGGGTAAATTGCAAGAGGTAATGCTGGCGTTCCAGAGGACCATATCATGAAGGACCTTGTATATTCTATTATTTTACTCTGTTCAGGCTAATATAACAAAATATCATAGACTGAGCAGCTTATAAACAACATAAATTTATTTCTCACAGTTCTAGAAGCTAGGAAGTACAAAGTCGAGTTGCCAGCACATTCAGTGTCTGGTAAGGACCCATTTCCTAGTTCAGAAAGCACTTTCGCATTGTGTCCAGGCATGGTCAAAGAGGTGAAGGTACTCTCTGTTGTCTCTTTTAAAAAGGCGCTATCTTATTAATTTCTGGATGCTAAAACAAAATATCAGAAACTTGGTGGTTTATAAACACTAGAAATTTCTTACAGTTCAAGAGCCTGAGGACTTTAAGATCAAGGCACTGGCAACTAGGTGTCTGGTAATTACAGATCCTCTTCCTCATTGATGGTGCCTTCTAGCTGTGTCCTCACGTGGCAAAAGCGGCTGGCTAGCTCTCTGGAAACTCTTTTATGAGGACACTAATCCCATTGATGAAGGATCCATGTTCTTGGCCTACTCACCTCCTAGAGGCTCCACCTTCTAAAATTACTACCTTGGGGGGTTAGAATTTCAACATATAGAATTGGGGAGAACACAAACATTTAGTCTGTTGCATCTATGAAGAAGTTTCTATTTATTTATAAAAACTAATGAGAATCACTGAAATGGTGTTTAAGATATCACCAGATTAAAGTTTTACAAAAATCTCACTGGCGGTAGTTTAAGAAGGGGATCAGGTGTTGATAAGTCAGGAAATAGTTGGTATATTTTAAATTTTTGAAGTAATCCAGGTGAAAAACTTTGGAGCGATGAACCTCAATTAAGGTAGTCTAGGAATAGGAAAGGGAAGTTACATTTGAGAGTTGTTCAATTGATATACGATTGTTGGGACATGGTGGCAGATTGGAGTTAGGCCATATGGAACAGAGAGGAGTCAAAGATGATTTTCAAGTGTCTCATTTGTTTGACTCTAATAGGTATTGGTATTGTTCATAGCAGATAAGGACAGAGAGGGACCAGCATGTTAACCTTCTGAGCCTCATTTCCCTAATCTGTAAAATGACTTTGCCCTTTCTATCTCTCAGAATCATTATTAAGACTCTCTTAGTCTGGGTTCTCCAGAGAAACAGAACCAATAGGAGATGGATGGATGGATAGATGGATAGATATATAGATGAATGGGTGGGTAGATGGATAGATAGATAGATGAATGGGTGGGTAGATGGATAGGTAGATAGATAGATAGATAGATAGTTGATAAGGGATATTAGAAAAATTGACTCATATAAATGCTGAGAAGTCCCACAATATACCATCTGCAAGCTGGAGAACCAGGGATTCAGTAACATGGCTCAGTCTAAGCCTGAAGGCCTGAGAACAAGTCCTGGAAGTCCAAAGCCCACAGAGCGTAGAGTTCAGATGTCCAAAGGCATGAGAAAATGATGTCCCTATTCCAGGAGGTGGGAAGTGGGAAGCGGAAAGGGGAAGAAGAGAGAGGTGGGGAATTCGAGTTTCCTCTGCTCTTTTGTTCTAGCTGGGCCCTCAGCTGATTGGCTGGTGCCTACTTACATTGGGTAAGGGCAGATTTTCCTTATTCAGTCCACTGATTCAAATGCCAATCTCTTTTGTAAACCAACTCACACACGTACTCAGATATAATCCTTTCCAGCTACAGTTATCTGGGTATACCTAAATCCAATCAAGTTGTTACCTAAAATTAACTATCACAAGGATCAAATAAAATACTTAAAAATGTCTTTAAATTCTAAAGCAATTTCTAAAGTTGTTTTTTATGATTAGTATACATTTAAGTAGGTTGTATAATTAAAACAAAACCAGAATTAAAGAAGTATATAACTGCAAGAGGGCAAAAAACCTTTTTTAAATAGAAGGAACTAAATCTTTGGAGATGGTAAGAAACATGTATATGTAATCCAGGCTCTTTTTCTCTTCTTTGCTTTGCCATCCCACACCCCGACTTCATTATGTCACATGCCCAAGAAAAAATCCACAATTATTCTCTAATGCTTCTGGGTTTAAGCCCAGGCCCTTTTGTCTCCTGTTCAAAGTTTATCCATGCCTTGCAACTTTATCAGGTGACCTTTCCACTTTCCACCCTGGCATACACGTGTTCCTCATCCCCTCATATACAGTCGAGTGAACTCAGTCATCCATGGTTAAGATCTTGGACAACATGTCAGTCTTCTCATCTGTTAAGCAGGTATAATCATTATATCTATCTTACAGGACTGATAACTAGGTAAAATTAAATATACATGATATTTATGTAAACTGCTATATACCATACCTGACAAAGAATAAAAACTTGCTGAAGAGTACTTTATTAGGCTTCTTATTTACCAACGTGAACTCTCTGAAGACAGATCCATTTGGCCTTTAAAAATCTTTCTCTACTGCTCTGCGATTTTACAGATTACTCAAGTCCCTCATGGACTCTGATATCCACATTCAAGCTTCCCTGTGTCTCCAGACTAGCTGCTTGCTTCTGTTCTACTCCTGTCTTTTTGAATTTCTATAACTTGTAGGGTCCGTCTCACATTTAATACTGGATTATTGAACTGTTTGTCATTCACTTTGTCTGAACTGTTTACATTCACTTTGTCTCTTTCAAGTAGATTCCAAATTCCTCAAGTGATATACCTAGCACAATTCACGGCATCCTGAAGATATACCAAGAGATGATTTGAGAATCAACATGTCTTTTTGGGCTTCAGGTTTCAACATCGTTTCTTTGGGGTCCTTGTTAAAGTTCTTATTTTCCAGTTCACTCTTGGTATATCAAAATCAATCTTCATGCTCTAAAGGAAGAAAAATAAGTAAAAAACTGAGGTGGAAATTACCACTCTTTTTAGGCTTGGTGTCAAAACCAGGGAGAGTGTAGGTTTTAGTGTAATTTTATCTTCTTAGTTTTATTTTCTTTCATTCTCTGACAATTGAAAAATTGTAATAATAATCACATTGTTCCCTAACTGTTCTAGTTAGAACCAAAGCCAAGATTATTTTATCTGACTATTAGGAAAGAGCTGTAGGAAGGGACCTATAAAACATCCTTGCTTTCTTAAGAAGAATGATGATTACCTTACAGCTGAAGGATAATTAGCCTCAGGCAATGGACTCCTTGGCCAGACTACAGTAAGATGCCTCAAGCAACATGGAACGTGAGCACCCAGGGATTGCTTAAGATGGAAGTATATTTATGGGATAACCCTTTAATTTCTTTTAAAATTCTATTCGTGGAAACTAAAAGTTGTGTCACTTGGGGAAAAGATTCAGGCATCCTCTTGAACACTTTCCATGGTACTTTGAAAAGGCAAATCTACTTAACCTCTTCAAACTCAGCTTCTTCTCTGTTAAATGGGAATAAAAATATCTCCCCTCAAAGAAAACATTTGACACCTTTCCACGTAGGCATTTGGAGAGTCGTAATAATAAAACAACAATCTGATTCTTAGCTCTTTGAGCAACTATAAATTACTTACAAGTGATTTGGCAACTCTTCCAAATTTCTACCAAAGTATAATTTAAAAAAAATTTAAACATGACTATCATGTCAAAGATTTATTTAACTCATTAATAAGGGAACCAGCAGGATGTTAAAGCTTGTTCAAAGAGAATTTGAAAGGCTGCTAGAATAAATTGCTAGATTTAGATATAATATTTTTTTCCACTTCCTATAGGGCAATAAAACTAACTTTTGGGGTTACCATATTCAGACTTAATTTGCATTTCTATAGACAAAATGTAAGATTAACATATAACTTCAAATATTATGAATCCTAATCAATAGTAATTGGTTAATCAAGCAAAGCTACGTTCTCCTAGAAAATTAAATAATCTTGGAGAAGACCCGTTAGATAATATTCTTGTGGCAATGAAAAGACATACAGTCATTATTTTATCTTATTCACAAATTTTTAATATATATTTTAACATTACCTTTTTTTCTGTCATGGGTCGCACTCTGTCACCCAGGCTGGAGTGGAGTGATGTGATCACGGCTCTCTGAGCCTTGAAACCTGGGCTCAAGCAATCCTCCCACCTCAGCCTCCTAAGTAGCAGAGACTACAGGTGCATACCACCACCTCAGGCTAATTTTTAAGACATTATTATTCATAGACATGGGGTCTCGCTATGTCTCCTAGCTGGTCTTGCACTCCTGGGCTCAAGTGACCCTCCCACCTTGGCCTCCCAAAGTGCTGGGATTACAGGCTTGAGCCACCACACCTAGCCAACATCACCTTTTTATTTTTAATATTTCCTATCATTTTCATTCCTTGCTGATACCTTCAGTTCACTTACTATCTACTTTTTTACTTCTCTTTGTCCCTTTAATTCTATCTGTTCCTAACTTCTGCTTTCTTATCAGCTATTTATTGCCCAATTATATCCATAGCCTCTGGTCTATTTTTTTTTCCTTCCTCTCCAAGCCATTGTTTGAGTGTGCCTTGGTTCTTATGCTAAAGCTAGATTTAAACTAAATTGACCATGTACAACTATCAGCTTCCTTTTAGTATGAGCGATATTAAGATTTACTGTTCCCCTCCAAGTATCTCTACTTGGAATAAGGAAAGAAGATCTCAAGCAGAATCCTTCCACACCTGAAATCTAAAGCAAGTTGGGGCAGAGCTCTATAAACTCTATGAAGTCCTGGCTCTGCCCTTTTGTCTGCTCCAAAATAACCTCGTATGAAAGTTTCACATAAGGCAAATGTGCACTAGTCTTTGGCATACATTTTCTAACCATTTTTCTTTTTAGCATCGAGTGATCAAGAATGTTCAGAACCAGCATGCCAGAAGCAATTAAGAATCAGATTTAGGGAGCCATTACTACGGGTGGAAAGTATGCTAGACTTGTATTCTCTGTTCATGTAAAAGTAGGAATGTATCTGTTATATTCTAGCCTATCCTTGCATCTTGAGCACCATCATTCTCACCAATAAACGCCCAGATCTAACGTCACGCTTATTAACACTGATTTTACCAATGAAATCCACTTATAATATTCATTATGTGAATAGAGAAACTCTATTGGTATTGATCAGTGAAATGCTAGCTGAGGCTTTGTAGATGCTATCTCTTATGTATGGTTTTCTGAAAAATGTCAGGTAACCACCTCTGTAGTGTATCTCCAGCTAGGGAAACTGTCCTCCCTGGATCTGTCACGCTCATTTACATTACGCGATCTAGGATAGAAGCAGTTTAAAATAAAATACAGCCTACAAGACAACCTGTATTTAGCCTTTGTCTGAGTGGAGATATCACAGCTTGCACTGTCTATGGAGGTCAGAGGTGACATGGTACTTGCGGGAGAAGATGTTTCCTGTCATTGAGCTCTGGAAGCTGGGACAGCAATAAAACTTCTTGGGGAATATAGAACCCAGCCGCCTTGGCTGTGGGGAATTGATCAAGGACAGTGCTGGAGACTCTGAACTTCTCTCTGGTGGGTTGGGATATCCCTGAGGATGAAACCCCATTGTCCAACAATTGCAGTGGCTACAGTAACTGGGAAAAGATGAGGAAGTGAAATAAAGCATCCTGACTTATTATACAGAAAGTATATATTTTTACATTGCTAATTTCTTCGGGGCACTAGCATCTGGCAGCGCTCCTGGGAAAAACAAAGACCAAGAGCAATGCTGGTTTAAATTCAACTGTAATTGTGTCAGGTTTTATATTATGATAAAATCTTAGCCTCTTTACAAGGAGGTTAAATCCCTAGTTGATTTGAAGTGAATTTAGTTTCTCCAAAGATGAACAAGAGGAGACAAAAACATGACCCATTTCTTTTCTCCTCAGAGTTCAAGTTCTTGCTATATTTTTTCCTCTTCCCTCTATCTTAAGAAGTTTTCTCACAGCTATCAGTGCAGAGAGATGCTCTTGCTGCTTGGGGAGTAGAAAGATTCATGGCTTCCTCCAACACAAAAGGCCCAGGATTATTTTCGGCAAAGAGAGCAGCCTGGTGATTCATTGGGCAGTGTGCATGTTGAGCCCTGGCCAGAGCTTTTACCTATTTGTGACAAAATAATTTCATTTGCTTTTAGAGATGCGACTTTATGTCCCCTCTGTCAGACTAACTCAGAAATATGTCAACCAGGAAAACACTTACAACTGCTGCTAGCAGTCTGCACTGCGCATAGCCAGGCGGCAGAAGGCAGAACTGGCTTTTGATTTTGATTCTTCTCTTCTAAAACGAAGGGGTTGCAACAATTGCTGAAACTCTCAAAATTTGTGAATCCGTGCAATTCTATGATCTGCATGTAAGGATTTAGCTTCTAGAATTGGGAACACAGTTTATGTTCTGGTTTTAGATTTTTTTTTTCTTTTTTTCTTTTTTTTTTTTTTTTTGCCACATAGAAGGTAGAGAGCAGTTCTGGGTTTTTTTGTGTTTACCTTAGCCCAGGTTTCATCTTCTTTTATTCTACTTTTTTCTCTTTATATTCATTTCCTATGTTTTTTATTTTTAATTTTTCAGAGACTTTATACATACAAGTGATTTTAATGCAAACATCAGGAGCCCTTATGGATGCCTCTTGTAGTCCCATAAAATCATGATATTTTTGCTAGATGCTGATTCCATTTTTTGCCTTTCTTTTTAGTGAGAACCAGTGGCATAATTTTTATGTTAATAATGAAAACCATGATTTTTATTGTCACGCATGTGTTTATATTTCAATACATACTTTTAGATCCATAAGTGCTCAATAGTTTTGGCATAAAGGTTTATAAATATTATAACTGCTGTATAGTTTTCTTTTGTACAATTTTGCCATAATTTATCTTTTCTCTTGGGATATTTACAGTATTTCGTCACAACAAACAGAGCTGCAAAATTCATTCTTATCCACGTTTCCATGTGTAAGCATTGTCTAGGGGATTGGCTCAGAAGGGAATTGCTAAATTTTTGGATATTAATATTTTCAACTTAACTAGATATTGCCAAATTGCTCTCCAAAGGAAAATATTGGAGTCGTTTGTACATTCTGGGTAGTACAACGCTGTCAGTCACATGCACAGCAAATATATTTTCCAGTCCCTTGCTTGTCCTTTTCTTTTGTTCACAGTTGTTTTTAAAGTAATTTTAATTTTAATTATTTAAAGGCATCAAAAATTTCTTTATGTTTTGTGCATGTTGTGTCTTATTCTAAAAATTATTTCATTTTACATGGTCATGAGGATTTTACCCTCTCCCTCATCCTCTTGATTCTTTTGTGTGAGCACTTTATGGATTTCCTTGTGTTATACAAGCACTACCTGGTTCAATCCATGCTAATCTCGATCGAAATGTAGATGTAGCACCTTCTTAATGAATCTTCCTGCACAAATGCATTAGTAATCAAGGTACTAAAGATTCTGTAGCAGTGACAAAGGAAGAGTTCACATCTTCCACTCTGTTAGATAAATCAGTCTTTTCTGCTATCTGATTTCGTTCTGTCCCTTTGTTAAATGACCTAACTAGCACTTTCTCTATCAGAATTAGCTGCTTATTTCTTCCTTAGGGGAGCAAAAATAACTTCCTTCTTTGCTTCATGGTAAACTTTTCCACCTGTTTTGCTATAAAATATTGCTAACATAGTCGACTTTGAGTTTAACAAATAACAAGCATACAAAAGTATAATCTCAATCACAGTGGGTCTCTTACTAAAATAATTTATCATAATCATTAATTCAGTTAATTAAGTAACTTTTTTTTTTTGAGATGGAGTCTTACTCTATCACCAGGCTGGAGTGCAGTGGCATGATCTCAGCTCACTATAACCTTTGCCTCCTGGGTTCAAGGGATTCTCCTGCCTCAGCCTCTGGAGAAGCCAGGACTACAGGTGAACACCACCACGCCCAGCTAATTTTTGTATTTTTAGTAGAGATGGGATTTCATCATGTTGGCCAGAATGGTCTCGATCTCTTGATCTTGTGATCCATCCATCTCAACCTTCCAAAGTACAGGTATTACAGGCATGAACCACTGCACCCAGCCTTAAATAACATTTATTAAACATCAACTAAGTGCCAAGCACTGTAAAAGTTACTGAACAAACAAAACATATCCCAGGTGGAAAAGATAGAGAATCTGAGAAGGCTTCTCTGAGATGGTGACATTTAAGGTGAGAATGGAAGAACAGGAAACTAGCCATTTTATAGTAGAAGAAACTTTTTAACAGGCTCAATGACAAATGCAAAAGCCAAAGGAAGTAAAAAAGGCTTAGCATAGAGGAAGAACTAAAAAGATATCAACTATGGCTAAAAGAAAATATAGAAGGAGAAAAATGATATGGAAAGTAGCGAGCAGGAGGGGTAAAATTATGTATCACCTTTTAGGCCTTCATTAAGAGGCTAATGATTTGATTTGCATTTCGAAGTATAACATTGGCTGTATACGGCAGATAAATTGATGGTACACACGAGTAGAAGGAAACCAATTAGAAATTACTGCTGGGGTCCAGATGAGATTTGATGATGGCCAAGTTTAGTATGGTAACAGTAGAAAGGTGAAAAAATACTTTTTAAAGGAAGAAATGGCAGAATTTACAGAAGAAACAAATTAAGAGAGTAAGAAAGAAAATAGAATCAAAGATGGTACCCAGTATTGTGACATGATTAGGAGTTGGATGATAAGCTGACATACTTGAGACTTCCCTGGAATATGTTCCAATTAGAACAAAGGTGATAGTGGTCAAGAGTTTTATCTTAGGCATGTCATTTCCAGACACCTATAGACATCTAAGAGTAGACCCTGAGTAAGCAGTTGGATCTAGATCTAGCTCAGAAAAGATGTAAATCTGGGAATATCAACTAGTAGTAAAAGACAATGTTTTCCATTTCATGATAGAGCAATAGACATACAGATAGGAAAATGAAAGAAACAAGACCTTACTTTAGTTCTAGTCTAAGATATAGATTCCAGTGACCACAAGCCACAGCCTTCAACTTCTATGGATGGATCTTGGACAGATTTTTATCTCAGAAAGTCCAAGAAAAGTCAAAGATGGCAATTTTACATTTGGTTCCTTTTACAAATTCTATTTTTTCTTTAGGTGTCATTTTAACCTAAATGGGTTAAAGACTTAAATGTAAAACCCAAAACTATGAAAACCCTGGAAGACAACTTAGGCAATACCAATCAGGACATAGGCATGGGCAAATATTTAATGATGAAAACACCAAAAGCAATTACAACACAAGCAAAAATTGACAAATGGAATCTAATTAAACTAAAGACCTTCTGCACAGCAAAAGAAACTATCAATAGAGTAAACAGACAACCTACAAAATGGGAGAAAATTTTATAAACTATGCATCTGACAAAGGTCTAATACTTAGCATCTATAAGGAACTTAAATTTAAAATTAAAAAAAAATCCCATTAAAAAGTGGGCAAAAGACATGAGCAGACACTTTTCAAAAGAAAACCTCCATATGGCCAACAAGCATATGAGAAAAGCTCAACATCACTGATCATTAGAGAAATGCAAATCAAAACCACACTGAGCCAGTCAGAATGACTCTCATTACAAAGTCAAAAACTAAGAGATGCTGGCAAAGTTGTGGTGAAAAATGAATGCTTATATACTATTGGTGAGAGTGTAAATTAGTTAAACCATTGTGGAAGACAATGTGGCAATTCCTCAAAGACCTAAAGTCAAAAATACCATTTGACCCAGCAATTCCATTACTGGATATAGACCCAAGGAGTATAAATTGTTCTATTATAAAGACACATTCATATGTTATGTTCATTGCAACCTCATTCACAATACAAAAGACATAGAATTAACCCAAATGCCCATCAGTGATAGATTGGATAAAGCAAATGTGGTACATATGCAATGGAATACTATGCACCCATTAAAAAGGAATGGGATCATGTCCTTTGCAGGGACATGAATGGAGCTGGAGGCCATTATTCTTAGCAAACCAACAGAGGAACTGAAAATCAGATACCACAGGTTCTCACTTATAAGTTGGACCTAAATGTTGAGAATATGTGGACACAGCACTGGAGCCTATCGGGGTGGAGAGTGAGAGGAGGGAGAGGATCAGGAATAGTAACTAATGAATACTAAGCTTAATACCTGGGTGATGAAATAATCGGTACAACAAACCCCCATGACACACGTATACGTATGTAACAAAACTTCACATCCTGCAAATGTACTCCTGAACTTAAAGGTTAAAAAAAAAGCAACGAAATGATTGCATACTTTGAAGGAAGTGGATTATATCATATGAGGCTTATTGAGAGATTTGTATCACAAAATGTAACTATCAATAGGTAGCAAAACTCACATGCTGGTGGTTGAGCGACATTAATAGTTCTAACACTTTTTTTTTTTTGGTTTTCTGTCGATATTACCAAAGTAGATTTATTGATTATTTCTGTGTAATTGATAAGGTATTTGATACTCCAGTGGGTTGTATTTAGATTTTCTTAGTGCAGGTGAAATGATGAATATTCAAGGTTCTTTTTTGAAAAGATAATTAATTTCTAGCTTTACTGAGATATGTTTGAGGTTTTTTGGCTAAATCTTCTATATGGCCATGGATGCATGTACATATCTTACACTTTATTTTTAATGATTAGTCCACATATGTTTGCCTTCAGCTGCTACTCGCAGGCAAAATTCTGGGCTCAGCCATCCAGTCTTACCGAGGACAAGTATAGCTATTAGTCAGAAAATACTGGGTGCCTACTCTGAACCAGCTGCTGTGGCACCCATGAGAATTACCAGAAATCTAGGTCATTGTTCCTCAATTCAAGAAGCTTACAGTCTGGAAAAAAAATGGATTTATAATTACCTACATACATTGTAAGACAGAATAGAAAAATAGTTATAACAGATTTTTACAAACATGCTGTGTCATTTCCAGGAAACAATGACCACTTGTGTTTATAAAATCTCCCTAGTAAAATGAATGAAAACCAATAAAGCAGAAAAACACCAAACAAACTAGCAAATAAACAAGCTGGCCGATCACTAGTAGAGGAAAACAAAGAAAGGGAAAAAACTGAGTGCCCTAAACTTCCCCAAGTGGCAGCCAAAAAAAAAAAAAAAAAAAAGAATCAAAACACGGTAGTATGGCATGGCATGTCTCTAAACCACAGCTCCAAAAGTTAAGATGCAATATTGATGAGTATGTTAATCATGGTAGGCAAATTGTTAAAACATGCAACGTTAAAGCCTCAGTTTTTAAGATACCATAGGTTTCTTTCTTACTTATTTCATAGTTCAAAATGATGATTCACATGAAGTAGTTTGTAGGCTCTTTCCATCTCTGGATCCGTCCTCCTCTAGGCCCTCCGTGTCCTCTACATTAAGGAGAAGAAAGGTAGAAAAGCCTACATAAGATGTTTTTTATGGAATAGGCTTAGATGTGGTAGATGTCACCTGGTCAGAAGATGTCAGTGACACGTCCACCTTTCCCTGTAAGGGAGGCTGGAAAATGTAATCTGTATGTGTGCAGAGGAGGAAAGGGAAAGGTTTTGATAAATATAGCAGTCTCTGAGAGACTCTCCTTGAGAACAGAGAGTCTACAAAATCCCTGAAATTCCCATTAGCCATCCCCAAAATAGAGAGATGTGAAATAGCAGACATTTTCTTCCCTTTTCTCTCGGTTGATTAGGGGTGAGAATTTAAGGTACTCACATTCAGTGTCAAGTAGGTATCATGTTTCAGAGCTAGGTTTCACATCCAGGCAGCCAGTTCCTAAATCTGCTCTCTACCTTTATGCCATATTATCAATATACACAGGAGCCACTTAGCAAAAACACAAAGGATGATGGCCTATGAATTGGGCAGATCTTGTGAAAGCTGAACATTTATATTTCTACCATTTCTTCAGGATAGATTCTTAAATGTATAAATATTGGGTCATTAGATGTACTGTCCAGTTGCTTTCCTGAAAACTTGCTCCGATTTATGTCCCATAAGTATATGCAAGTGCTTCCCTCATCACGTTATTACCAACATGGAGTACTAAGATTTGTTTCATCTTTGCCAGTTATGCAGGGAGATAGATTAGAAAGCATTTATTCTGACTGTAGCATTGGGGAATCTTCATAGAAAACATGGCATCCAAGTTCATCAATGACGGCATGGCCAAAGCAAAGTGGAAAGGCCTAGAAGACCATGGACTATTTGGAGAAGGCAGGCTAGCCTGAGCTAGCCAGAATGTAGAGGGTTACACTATTGAGCTCTTACACCGAGAAATGATTGTAGAGAACAATGAAAACCAGGGTGAAATATAATGATCTTATTACAATCAGTTTAGAGGTGAGAGGTGATGACAGTCTAAAAGAAAGTAGCCTCCAAATAAGCTTTGAGTGAGGTGTTTGTCTATGACAGGTACATACCTTATACACATATACTTAAATATTTTATCTATATAAAATATGTATGTGCACACACACACACACACACACATACACAAACACATTCTTTCCTTCGTTACCACCCCTCTTCATACTATCATTTTCAAACAAGTAACCATTTTGTTTTAAAAACTGCTGATTGGATTCATATAGCATTGCGTGTATCAGGGTGAAATAAATTCACTAACGGGATGACAGGTGTGAGGGTTTCCAGCTTTGAAATGCATCCAACTAGGGACATTTGCATTCTATGAGAAGTCTATGCTAATATAACATTCACACTCAGAGGAGAAGTTTAAATTGCAAATTTTGAGATGCTTGAAGTCAGTAAATAATATTTTTGGGAGTGGAGTCGTGGTGCCAAAATAATATCAGTGAGGAAGGCTAAATGGAAGGAAGGCATTTACCGGGTGTGAATTCTGTCCTGGAACTGAAATCACCCTTGAAGCCTGGGACTGGCAATGAATTCTGCTCCTTTCTGACAGGGGATTGCAAACTTCAGAGTACATTAGAATCACCTGGAGGGCTTGTAAAACCAAATGGCTCAGCTTCACCTCCAGAGCTACTGATTCAAGAGTGATGGGGTCAGGCCTGAGAATTGGCATTTCTAAGAAATTCCCAGGTGATACCTGTTTCAGAGACTACACCTTGAGAACCATTGCTCTAAGAAAATCCTAATAGTAAACTTGCTTGTTAGAGAAGATGGGAGAGAGTAACTAAATAATCACCATGAAAGATTTTTCCTACTGAAGTTCAGTCTGCTAATGTTTCTCCATCGCTTTGAAAGGTTGCTTTATTTCTTGGAAAGACATGATGTAATGAAGAAGCAGGGACGGGAGGTAGGTGCAGATATTTTCCTCACCCTCCCAGGAACCAGCCTTAACCCTAACTCTTTCCTTTTCCCAACTGCCCATTTGGAAGGAGAAAAATCCGACGTCTCCCAGGCTGCTGCAGCCACTGCTGAGAGCAGCATCTTTTGCCAGTTTCCCCTGGCGGCTTCCCAGCCAGCCAGCCGCTCACCCCCGTGATGATGTCAGCACTCGCTGCTTCATCACACCTGCCTGAAGGAATCAGATAAGCTCCACGGGAAGAGGCCCGAGGAATGAGCACAGTCTTGACAGGTGAACCAAAGACGCTTTTGTTTTCCGTGCTGGGGCTGGCTGCCAGGTTGTGGATTTCTGTCAGTCAGCTGGCTGCCACACTTCTCTGCCTCTCTATTTTCCCGAAAAAGAAACCATTAGTGATTTGCAAAGCTGCTCCAGAGGATGTAGGGTTTCAGTGTGAGACTGAGTTAGAGTGGGGTAGCCATCACCCTACTTTGGCCAGAAGCCACAGATAGGAGTGGGGCTTATTAATTATTGCAGCCAAGGGGGCATGTAGACAGTTGTGCACTCTGGTAGTGAGTGGGTCCTGCCTGGAAGCTTTTGACAGAATTTTTGAGTGATGCTCCTCCAGTTTCGGTGTGGGCTGACTGTGTCCTGGAGAATGCCCTGGGCAGCAGCTTTAAGTTCAGCCCGTCGAGGCGGGTCAGTCGTCTGGGTTTGTTGCCCTGTCTGATGCTCCCCTACTTGGGACACTGGTGAGTTTTGTTCCCACTGTGATTACTGCTCTGTATGTCTGGTGAAAATCACAGAGATATGTTTAAGAGTTAGAATCTTTAAAGAAAATGTTGTGTCCAGAGAATTTTTATCCAGTCCTACTCATGTTGGATCAGCCAACATGGCAATGGGCTAAGTTCAGCATCGGGCTGCTTCTCTGCGGTTTGTTGAGCATGTGGGAAGTGTGTATGTATGTGTGTGTGTGTGTGTTGTAGGGGTGATTTCCTCTTTGGATATATTTATTCACAGATCAAAATCTTTTTAAAGGGAGGTTTTTGTTTTAGTTTTGTTTTTTAACAACATTACAATTGTTTGCAGGCCTAGAGGATGGTCCTAAGAATTATTTCCTTAGGTAGAAGAGATGGGAGGGCAATATTGAGGTTTGTGGTGCAATATTGAGAAATGACCCCAGAGACTCACTCTGAGTCACCTGGAAAATCAGCTGCGACTGGGGGGCTTGCTGCTTCTAGCAGCAAGGGGCAACCCAAGCTCAGCTTTCCTCAGGACTTACGGCTTTTTCTCCTCTCAGGGGGACTAAAACTCTCATGGCCCCAAGGCTTTCAGGTGCTGGGCAAAGAGTGCTTCCAGATACATTCTATAAATAGCTGGCATCCAAGTCTACAATGGGTGGTACCAAAGTGGTCTGATCATTCCTCCACGGACAGAGCTGCTCTCATGCTTACTCTATAACAAGGCTTCTCAA